AGCAGAAATTAGCGCTTTTATTTTATTATTCATTCATACTTAAAAAATAGAGAATAAATTAACACAAAAGAATTTCTAAGTCATGTAAAAATAAGTAATTTATCACTTCTGAAACATTTTTTATCTCATATTGGTCTTTATAACAGAATTTATTCATCTAATACAGGTCATCTGCACTGCTATTTCAACGAACACAGCTGTATGTACATATGCGGAACAAAACTATAAATATGTCATATGTACATATTTATATTTTATTTCTTTGTCTTTCCACTTTTTAGAAGCGTTTCATAATATGCAGTCAATTACTATATTCAGGCACGATATTATATTCACAAATTTTTTAAAATATTGCTTATATGAGATAAGCCTCCACCTACTCTACCCGGGAAAAACTTTCGCACCCTTACAAAACACAACTCGATATATGTACATATGTATGAATGTACCACGACACAACACCAACCCGCTCAACAAAAAAGATGGATATCGGAATGGCAGACTGAATTCGCACATACATTTTGATTAATTTTTTAAGTATACTACATATTTAAAATAATATACTATATACTTTTTATTAAAAAACTCACCGAGGTTCAGGGTTGGTACAGCATTTGCCCTCAACTTCCTCACGCCCACTGCACTTGGCTCAAAGTGCTTTATGCAAACGAATGCATTGTGGGCCGGTAAATCCAGCGGTGGTGGGATCCTTAGGTTTTCCACCCACTTTTTCCCATTTCTGGATCCCTAAGGAATGAAAAGAGTTTATTACCCGCGGAAAAACACTCGCGAACACGACACTTTCTTTTTTGCGACATTTTTTTTATTTCGCACGGGCGGTTAATCTTAACAATTAGAAAAAACTAACTACTTGCATATTGAATACATTCATATATGTACATATGTACGTACAGTAGAATCACAAAAAGGTTAACCAAGATCAAAGAAAGGTATGTTTTTCTATTCAGACAATAATTTTTTACATAGAAATTCGGCGAATACGTAACAATTGTTTATTTTGCCAAACAAACGGTTGGATTTGAAAAAAATAGAGTTCGAAAACGTTAACCTAAAGTTAACTTTTTGAAGCTGTACATGGATGCTGCAAATTGGATTCTACTGAATCTACTGTTTTTTTTTATCATTAGATTTGGCGCAATTTCTCCACGAAAACATACATACATATTTCAGAAAAATCTAATATGGAGATACTCAACCAAAAACCACCTGCATACCATACATACATTTGTATTAGCATTTGTGGTTCGTTTTGGCGCAATTTCCCCGTTAAAATATACTTATGTATATTATTATATTATAAAATATACATATGTATATATATATTACCTACAATCAGAAAAAACATACTGCCCTACAAGAACACTGACAGTCAGCTGAACGTACATTTCACTGCCAGAGCTGAAAGAAACTCAGTCAGCACGCAGGATAAAGTTTCTATCATTTTCTTAAGGGCCTAGTGAAAAAACTGATGTAAACAAACGCATGCGTGTGAGCTTGCATCTCTCTTTAACACACTGGTATTCGGAATTAAATCAGTATATATCTCTACTGCTTACTCTCATGCTTTTTCTTGGTTCATTGCTGACCACAAATCTGTCAAAGCTGAAAATTGTCAATAATGACTGAAAAGCTAACATAGCTGCAATTTGTCATTTATGACTGTAAATCTTTCAATGATGACACATTTTTTTTTTTGTTCAAATTAGTTTTATCTTTATTCATTTATAATCTGAATAT